GATACTAGATTTTGTTGAGTCTATAAATGAGTACATGCCATTGTTGAATTTGTCTGGTGCTCATACGTACTTAAGTTCTCATAGTAAATGCAAGTCAGACTCTCATAACGATTTTTTGTCTAATCTCCACATTCTCGAGTTCTTAAATAATATCAAATATGGTGGGAATTCCAAATTATCACTTGCATTTGAAGATGGAACTTCCACATGTTGTTTAGAAAATGGACAATTCTATGGGTCTATGTAATGAGACATGATTGGTTGTGAAAACTTCTCACTCATATTCTCACATGTAAGATACTGACTGAGGATCAGACAAACGAGAAGCTGTTGATTCCTAGAATGACAATAACTCATTCTGAAGTCATAATTCATTTCAAGTTCCAGCGATGAGAATTTCGACTATCGTTTTTTACGTCATGACAATAAATAAGAGCCAGAGACAATCATTATCCCATGTCGGTTTATTTTTTTAAGAAGTCGGTTTTTCAGTCATGGATGGTAGATGTCTCTCATGCCACCAACCGAAGTGCTTGCTTATTTATTAAGAAATTCAAAAATAATTCAATATCAACTCAAAAGCGAACTTACTTCTGGCCATTCTATTCCATCGAGTGAAGGCGCGATCCTTCGTTGAAGGCTCAATTCCTTTGTTGAAGGTTCGATTTCCGTTGTTTCCCTCAGTCATCAATCCTCTTCGACAAACCTTCTTTCTCTTCCTCTACATTCCTCATTATTTTTCTCTTGTTTCCTCCTCAATGGGGGATAGTGATAGTAACCCTAATATAGAAGATGATATGTTGCAAAGGCTCAGAAACTTCTCAGTTTTTGGGGATGAAAGTCTCATTATTGATATAGCAAATAAGGATATAAAAGCAAGCTCTGAGGAATGCGCCCGGAGTTTGGTGGGCAAAGTTATTGGCAACAGGAGGGCATCCCTCCTTGGACTCAAAAGAACCATTGCTATTATATGGCGAATCCAGCAAGGGGTGGAGGTAAGGCAAATATCAACAAACTACTTCCAATTCATGTTTGAAAATAGGAGTGACCTTCAAAAGGTACTCTTAGGAACAAATTGGATCTATGAAAACCAATACCTGGTTCTGTAAGAATGGCAGAAAGGCATTAGTGAGAGTGATAGCTGCTTTCAGGAGGTTAATCTTTGGGTCCAAGTTTTTAACTTACCCCTGGAGTGGCTGAGTTTGGATGTGGGGCTCAAGATTGGTAAAGTGCTCAAAGCGGTAAAAAATGTGGGCCTCACCAACGCAGCTAGCAAAAGGGGCAGAATAATTAGAATGCTAGTCTCGATGGATATCAAC